TTTTTAATGATATTTTCTCCCCTGCAGTTTCCGATCATGTGATCCTAATATGTTCTCACTATATAATTCAGGAACAGTATTACCAACGGCGAAATTGACTCTAGAAAACTATAAACTGATACTTGATTTCCTTCATACAGCTAAAAAAAGAAAGGCCAACTTACCATCAGGTAAAATAAAAAATTATGATATATACTATCAAATTGCCTCTATATTCTTATTCACTGATGCAACACACACATGAACACACACACACACACTCCACAGACACACAGAAGTACAGATATCATTTTCCAGTGACCCAGGAATTTAATTGAGTTGTGGTATTTTGTAGGAGATCCTTATTTTCTCGTTTTTTAAAATTTTCTGTATTTTTATGATATGTGTTTGGAAATATATATGGTATATTCTAACCTAAACCAATTTGGCTGTTCACCAAATACAATGTCTTATTTATTTATTTATTTATTTATTTATTTATTTATTTAAGAAAGGGAGAGAGTGGTGAGGAGGGGCAGAGGGAGAGGAAGAGAGAATCTTAAGTAGGCTCCATGCTGGGCATGGATCTCAAAACCCTGAGATCATGACCTGGACCAAAATCAAGAGTCAGACACTTAACTGACTAAGCCATCCAGGCACCCCTAACGTTCTTTTTAAAATGTTGGTAGCCTCCTATTATCAAGATAGGTGAAGACTTGATATCAGGTGTTATATTTTAGCAGAAGTAAGTTTCAGAACAAATTCCACCACACATACTGATGCAACCGGCATGAAAACTGTCCTATAGCTGTTTAATAGTACCGATTTTATCCTCAGGGGAGTCTACTCTTGCCTTAGGATCTCCAACCAGCACCTTCCATGAAAGCTTACTCCAAGGTTAATGCAATAATATTTGTTTGAATGGCAGGACCAGCCAATATTCTTGTCATCTGCTCAGGTGACGGGAGACTCACTGAGGGGGGTGGTGAAATGCGAGTGAACATGGCTCTTGATCGGGGTGCTACAACTGATGACACTATTCCTAAGCAATCACCTATCTTGAATACCACTCATTTCACAAAGAAGGATTTATTTCTAATATCTTCATGCGATTACAAACCCTCTTTTGTAGATTTTTAGTAATGGTATTTTAAGTGCTATGTAACTTATTGCTGATCAGGATACTTCATATGCTGGGTAACTGCCCCAGGAGTGTTGATTCATATTTGAGGTACTTGATATGCTTTCTGATTTCTTCTAGGGTGTAGATTGGCTTTAACTGGTACCTTCATGTTATACTATGAAAATTGAAATATTTGAAAGTAAATTCCCTAGACACAGAGTCCAAGTTTTGTATGTAGATAGTAATATATAGCTTGAGTTGTTTTTTTTTTTAACTAGTTGCCTAAGACCTCCCATGGAATCACCAATAGAATACTGTGCTATTTAGACTTATTATTTAATGCAAAGTTCTAAGACAAGGTTTGTGGTAGGAGAAATCTGTGTTTTTATATCACACCAACAGGATAATGAATGGACATGGTAGCTGCACTGCCTAACTCCAGGGGATGCTACTCACCTTCTAGTGTATGTGTCCTGGGAATGAACTATTTAGGGGGAAATTAAGTGGGATTCTGTGATTGGTCCCTCAGAAAACATGACATTCCTGCCTCTGCATTGTTCCTTTGGCCATCACCCTTGCCCAGAATGATGTTCTCCATAGTCTTTCTGCATAGCTAAACCATGTTCACCCTTTAAGACCTAATCTAGATGCCTCCTTCTCTAGAGACTTTTCCTTGGTTCATTGTGTCCATGATAATCCCATCCTTCCTCCAAATTTATATAGCATTTCTTATCTTAATTACTCATTTGATGCTTATCACCTGTGTCTTCTGGAACTTTCTGTCTTCAATAATGTTATACTTTATTTTTGTACTGTAGATGCTGAAGAATTTTCCACATTTGTTAATTCCAGAATGAGTGATGAAAATGTATCCAAGACACAAACAGTTTATGATTCAGACTCTCAGTCAGGTCTTAGTGCTAAAGAAAAGGATCGAGCAGCAAATTTGAGTCTATTGGATCATTTTATGAAAATCTTCTTATATTGCAGGAGAGCAATGGTAAGGTGGTCCTTCTGATTTGCTAAATTAGTAGACATAAATCTCAGGCCATTAGTTTGAGCATGTAAGATGTATTTATTTACTTACTATCCATAATTTTAGTTTCAACTTTGAAACTAAATTTCCTGGGTTTCACATCAATCATTTTTGAGGTTTGCCTGCCATAGTGCTGAAGATTTACACATTGTGAGGTTGTCAGGGAGAGGGGTAAGCTGCTTTAGTCATAAGCCATCCATTGGTGTGGAGCTGAGGTGGCCTTTGTCCTTGTCTACACAATCTCTGTGAATATTCAGATACTCCTCTGCCACTTTCTTGCCACATATGGTACATGGACTTCTATGGTGGTGACACCAGTGGTTCCTCTCTGGAGTCTTGCTCCTGCCTGGGGTACCATAAACCCCTTTATTCCCTCTAGCACAGGGAACACTCTTTCTGGGCCACAGGAAAATCCTGCTCCTGGCCCCTGACCCCCGGTTTCTACAAACCAATTGTGTCTTCTCTCAAATGCTTTTCTCTTTTCTTAAATATTATATGCTACATTATTAAACTTAGAATCAGAATCATTAGCTACAAAGAAATTAGTTTCCTTTTTCTCATTGCAGGAATGGCATATACTTCAAACATCTCAAGAGTTGAGAGGATATCTATCCTTTCTAGAACACTTGAGTTCCCATTTTCTCTGTGGAGAGGGTGCTTTCTTGAAAAATGTGAAGTAAACCCACATCATCCCCCATGACCATGAGCATTGCATCCTATCCTTTCCACCAGCTTCAGGGCCCTGGAAGGTCTGGGTCCTGCTCACTTCTTGGAACTCAGTTCATCTTGCTCTCATTCAGTCCACTCTCCTCTGTGTGATCTTGAAAGCACTGAGCTTGTTTCTTTCTCGTCCCTCAAGTTCATCCTCCATCCTTTGCAGTTGCTGCTCCCTCAGTTTCAAATGCTGTCCTCCCAACACTCTCTCCCCCACCTTCCTATGACTTGCTCAACTCAATATTCAAGTCTCTGCTCATGTCACCTCCTCAGAGAGGACTTTTTTCCTGACCACCCCCGTCAAAAAGGGTATATCCTTTCATGCTTGTCAGATTCTGACTCATTTCTGCTTTATTTTTCTTTATGATACTTATTATTCCCTGAAACTATATTTTCATTTATCCACTTACCTAGTGTTCAGTCTCCACTAATAAATTGAAGCAGCACGAGGGCAGACCTGGTTACCCTTGCTAATTGCCACATTCCCAGAATCTAGAACAATGGAAATGTTGGAGTCAGACTGCTGGTGTGCAAATCTTAGCTAACCACTTAGTAGATCATGACCCTGGGCAAGTTAGCTCCATGCCTGTGTTTCCTTATCTGTAAATTAAATAGAATACTAGTGCACACTTATTTCATAGGAGCTATTGTTAGAATTAACTGAGATAATGATATAAGTGACACATAATAAATGGTGTTAGTTATTTTTTATTATTGACATAATTTTTGCAGAAAGATGAAGTTGTTCAGAGATCTCTAACTTTTGAAACTTTGGGGTTTTTTTAATGTTGTGTTTGTCTTAGGTTCTTGCTCATCGTGGTGGCTATTGGACTCTGCTTCAGAATTGCTGTCGGGCCCTTTGGAACTTTACTCAGGAGCTGCAGATACTTCTAAAACAAGCAGTGGATATGTATAAAACATTTCCTATTAGCCAGGATAGTTTTCTCTGTACCTGTGTTTTGCCATTCTATTTGGGAGCAGAATTACTTATTGATATGTTAATAGAACTACAAAATATCAATTCTGTTAAGGTAAGGGCATTTGGGTAATTATTTTTACTGCATCCAATTAATAAATGCTTTTTACCATGTACCTTGAGATAAATAGAAATTAATATTTTCCTTGAGTTCTTACTTGGTTTGTCTGTATTTCATTTGCTTCATTATTATTATTTGGTTCACAATACATAGCTCACATTGATGTTAATTGTAAATATCTTAGCCTGAAAATTCAACTTTTTAAAGGAAAGAGAAAGTAACATTTACTGAGTTCCAGCTTCTGTATAAACTAACTGTAATGGTTTTAATCCTCATGGCAATTTTTTTGACAGAGAAACAGACCCCAAGAGAGATCATATAGCTTGTCAGTTGCTCTTTACTTTACTGCTTTGTCTGTCCTTGTTCTATTATTCCAGATCTGGTAGAATTTGCAGCCATTTAAATCTACCACACTATGTTTTAAAACATGAAAATAAAATTGAAAAAATGCAAGCATAATGTAACCCAAACACATTGAAATTTAATAAACACAGAAGCACATTGAGTCATGGAATTTATAACATTTCCAGACAAAAAATATGTGAAAACAGTAGCACAAAAGACAGAGTAATAAGTTTTTTACACTTTTTATAAATATAAAGTAGTACACTATTAACTCTAAGTGGAATGTAATATGTTAAGGATGCATTTAATAACCCTTAGAGTAATACCAAAAAAGAGATAGAGCTACAAAGCCGTTGCAGTGAAGTGGAAACTAAATAGTGGTCAATGAATTAAAGAAGGCATAAAAAAAGAAACAGGAACAGAAACATACAGGCAAAACAGAAAGCAAATAGCAAATAATAAATCTACCCCAATCATATCAATTACTATATTAAATAAAAGTGGCTTAAGCACCCTAATCAAAAGGCAAAGTATGTTGGATAAAAAGAAAGACATGTAATAGTTGGCCACATGAGAAGTATTCTGAATATAAGAAATTGATTGAAAATAAATCAGTGGAAAGAGATATACCATGAATAATACAGTAAACATAAAAAACTGGTGAGACTTATTAATATTAGATAAAATAACCTTTAAATCAGGGAGTATTTTGACAGATAAAGAGAGACATTTTATAATGAGAAGAGGCTTAATTAATGAAGAAGACATACTAACCATAAATGTGTATGCTCCTAATAAGAGAGATTCAGAGTATACTCTGGACACCCAAAGCATGAAGAGCTTCCAGAATGGTGAAAGCATTGATGTGTTGGGTGACTCCATGGGGAGAGAACATGGAACCCCCTTATCCAGGACCCTTCTGGACTATGTACCTCTTTCATTTGGCTGTCCCTGAGTTGTACCTTTATAATAAAACTGTGATCCTAAGTATAGTGTTTTAAGTGAATGACAACCAATTATTGAATCTGAGGGGGCTATGGAAACCCCTAAATTTATAGCTGTTCAGTCAGAAGTGCAGGTGACCTGAGACTTGTGGCTGACATCTGAAATAAGGGCAGTCTTGTGGAGGACTAAGTCTTTAAACTCTTGGAGTCTGACCTTAATTCTGGTTAGGTAGTTAGTGTCAGAATTGAAGTGCAGTACACATAAAAGGGTTAGAAACAGACCACAAGTGCATATGGTGTGCTCACCAAGATGGATCATATGCAGGGTCAAAAAATAAGTCATAATAAAATTTAAAAGACTGGAATCTTGAAGAGTATGTTCTCTGACCCCTACCTTATGTATAGACCAATAGAAATTAGGAAGAAAAATCTCCAAATACCTGGAAATTAACAGTTTTAAATAATCCATGGATAAAAGAAGAAAACACAAGAGAAACTTAAAAATATTTCAAACTGGACAACATATCAAAATTTGTGGGATGCAGATAAACCAGTATGTAGAAGAACTTAATAGTTTTAAATGTTTAAGAGTAAAGAAGAAAGATGTAACATCAGTTATCTAAGTGTCCACCTATAGGAGCTCAAAAAAGAACAGATTCAATCCAAAGTAAGTAAAAAGAACAAAGAAAATAAGTGAAAGAATAAGAGCAGAAATAATTTATATATAAAACAACAAAATTAATAAAGTTAATAAATTAATCATTTGAAAAGATTATTAAAATTGGCAGAATCCTAGGAATACTGATGAACAAAAGAAAGAAAAGCATAAATAACTGACATTAGTGATGAAAGAGAGATTTAACTACAGATCCTATAGATATTAAAAGAAAAATGAGAGAATATTATGATCAATTTTTACTAATGAATTTGATAACTTTAAATGAAATGGACATGTTTATCACAAAGCACAGCTTAAATCTGACACAAGAAGCAATAGAAAAAATGAATTGCCCAAAATATATTAAGGAAAATGAATTTATAATTAGGAACTTTGAGATAAAGAAAACTCCATACCCAGAATATTTCCCTGCAGAATTCGAGCAAACATAAAAGGACAAAATCATACACAAAAATTTTTTTCAGAAGCGAAGCCAGCTTAACCCTGACAGATAATATCAAAAAGAGAAGTATGAACCAATATCCCTCATGAACATAGACACAAAACTCCTTAATGAAATATTAGCAGATCAATCCCAGCAATATATAAAATATGCAAATGAGGTCTATAATATCTGTAGTTATACAAATGATGATCAAGTGGGTTTATCCCAGAAATGTAAGGTTAACATTTAAAGATCAATCAAGCAGTGCCTGGGTGGCTCAGTTGGTTAAGCGTCCAACTCTTGGTTTTGGCTCAGGTCGTGATCTCAGGGTGGTGAGATCAAGCACCATGTTGGGCTCTGCACACAGTGTGGAGTCTGCTTGAGATTCTTTCCCCCATCTTTTCCCTCCCCATCTGCTCCTCCCCCTGTTCGTGTGTGCCCTCTCAAATAAAAAAATAAAAATCTTAAAAAAAAATAAAGATCAATCAAGGTAATTCACCATATTAACAGGATAAAAGAGACAAATTATATGACCATTGAAATAGATACAGCAAAAGCATTTACAAAATTTGATACCACTTTTTCCACCTGCTTTCCCACCCCTTGAGTGCTGCTCTAGCTGCATTGCTCTTGCTCTGAATTCTGGGTTCCTGCTAAGCCAGGGCTGCTGTTCTCTTTCTCTGGATGTCGTCATATTATCTACCTGGACCTCATCAGTCATGATGAGATGTTCTCTGACATCTACAAGATTCAGGAGGTTGCAAATGAGCTGTGCCTGGAGGTGAGGGAGAAAATAATAGGACAGAAGGTAACATTGATGGAAATGGACTTGGTTGAAGGCCCCCAAGGCGAAGGTACTGAAAGCACAGTAATCATTGGTGTTGATGTTGTCGGGAACCATTACTTACAGAAAACAAGCTTCACAAATGAAGCCTCCGAAAAGTACATCATAGATTATAGGAAATCAGTCTAAGGCAAACTTGAAGAACAGGGATCAGAAAGTGTAAACCTTTTATAACAGAGGCTGCAGACAAATCAAGCACATCTTTGCTAATTCAAAACTACCAGTTCTTTATTTGTGAAAACATGAATTCAGATGGCATGGTTGCTCTGCTGGACTACTGTGAGGATGGTGCGACCCTATGTATGATTTTCTTTAAGGATGGTTTATAAATGAAAAAATGTTAACAAAATGGCAATTACTTTAGATCTATCACCTGTCATCGTAACTGGCTGCTGCTTTTCACACATCCACACAACACCAGGACTTGGACAATTGGGTGATGTCATCTTGATCTCTTCATTTATTTTAATGTTGATTTATTTGGAGTGGAGTCATTTTTTTTAAAAGAAAAAACCATATCATGTAGGTTGCCTAAAAATAAAATGCATTTAAACTTATTTGAGAGAATACCTCTTAATTTAATATGTATTTAAACTAAGTCTGTCTTATAGTGTTCTGGAGAAGATAGAGCCTGGTTGTAGACCACAAATAGAAAGCATAAGACTGTGTTCAGATAACTTCTACAGGGAAAACTACTTCTGGGACTGGTATATTAAAAAAAACAACAACAAGAATTACAAGTCTTAATTCTAAGTTGAAGTAAAGGAAAAGACCATATTCATAGAGTACCAAATGTGAAGTGGATCATTATACATTTCATCACCTACAAACAGAAGTAGTTAACTCTGGAAGACATTATCAAAAGAATAAAAAGAGACTAATACAATTGGAAGCAAAACAAAAACAATGTCATTGATGTTAAAGACTCTCAGCAAACTAGAAATACCTGATAAAAAGTAGTATCTACTGTTAACATCATATTAATGATGAAATATTATGAGCTTCCCTCTAAGATTGGGCACAAAGCAAGGATGTCTGTTCATACCACTTTTGCTCAATACCATGCCAGAGATCCTGACAGGTACAATAAGGCAGATAAAGAAACAAAAGGCATGCGGATTGGAAGGGAATAATATGAGTTTTTACATAGAAAATTCTAACTCTTTAGGACTCTATAATATAAACAACTACTAGAACTAATAAACAAAATAGCACATAAAGTCAATATAAAAAATTTCTTTGTACTAACAGAAAACAACTAGGAAATGAAAATTTAAAAATGCCATTCAAAATATCAAGTTTCTAGGAATATATTTAAGGAAATCCATGTAAGATTTTTACACTGAAAATTATAATGCATTACAGAAAAAAATTAAAGAAGATCTAAATAGACAGAGATATATCATGTTCATGAACCAAAAGACTTAATATTGCTAGGATATCATTTATTTCCAATTTGATCTATTGATTCAGGGAAATTCGAATGAAAATTCCAACAGACATTTTTTTTGGTATAAATTGAAAGTTCATTTTAAAACTTATAAGCAAATGCAAAGAAATGTGAATGGCCAAGAAAATCTTTAAAAAGAACAAATTTGGAGAACTCCCTACCTGATTTCAAGGTTTATCAATGATGTAGTAATTAGAAGAGTATGATATTGGCATAAAGAGAAACATATCAATGGGATAAAAAGAGACTCTTGAAACAGACTCATACATATGGTCAATATTTTACAAAGATGTCAAAACAATTCAAAAGACTCAAAAAAGAAGTAACAACTCTTAGCACCCAGATGGGTTCTTTAAAAACCATTTCCCAATAAAAGAAATAGGACTCCTTGGTGGGAAAAAACAAAGGCTGATTACCTTTTCTATGTGAATTATACTTGAGGATAACCAAATAATTAACAGTCAAGGAAGAGAAATTTTTCTTTATAGAATTTTCAGGTAATAACTGAAGAAAGAATGTTGAAATTAGAATATCAGGATTTTGCAATTCTTTGTGAATTCATGGGGGGATGAACAGCACCAGTGAAATATACTTGTTGGAAAAAAATAAATCAAACTGGAAGCAGGGCAAGTATTTAAATCTAACCAACAATTTACAGAAGATCCGGGGACAGAGAAACATTTAGAATGAAACCATGGGGATGCAACAATAGAAATTCCGACCATGGAAACTCTACAAGACAAACAACCTGGATTCTTCAACAAAAAAATTGAAGTGAAAAAGGAGACGATGAAACCTGTAGATTAAAAAAGACTTAAGAGACATAAATGCAATGTTTGGACCTTATTTTGATCCCATTCCAAATTAATGCACTCAAAAATTTATAAGGTATAAAGGAAATGTGAACACTAGTTATTCAATAATGTTTTGAAGGATTTTTTTGCTAATTTCTTTTGTTAGGTGGGATTATATTATTGTGGTTATGTTTCTGTAAAAACAATTCTTGTCTTTTTAGAGACACATGATGAAGTATTTATAGATTAATATAATTTTGGGGATGTAATTCAAAATACTGGGGGAAGTGGGTATGTGTACAGATTAAACCAAGTAGATCCCAAAAGTTGATAATTGGTTGAAGCTGGTTGTGGGTACATAGGGCCTCAGTATATTATTTTCTCTGCTTTTGTAAGTGTTAGAAATTTTCTTTAATAAAAGGTTTTTTTTTTTTTTAAATTACACATGGCCCATACTTAATCTTCAGAATATAAAGACTGGTCTTGACCATGCCAGAAACTTCACTTTCCATATGCTATTTTCATCCCCAAATGCCAGTGCTGCTTATTTCTCAATATTGTTGGGTAATGTTACCAAAATTAGGAAGTAAGTAGATAATACTTTTTTCCTTCTCTCTTGATGGTTGGAAATACAATGTCAGCTTTGTTGTTGATGAAAGCTATATTGGAAGATATAGTAACCACAGAGGGCTTCCCTCTCCTTCATCCCAGAAGTAAACTTACCATGTAGGCATAGGCATGACTAACTGATATCAGATACCCTCTTCTTCATAGATGGCCCAGGAAAGTTATTTCATTTGGACCCAGGAAATTTACCCATGTCTGAAGAAAGAATATGTCATCCTATAGGTAGGCAGGCTCTGACAGAGCAGTCATCTTGGAAAAGTTGAGTGGGACAGGCTTGATTTCTTCTACACTCACCAAGAGGATTGAGTAAAGGCCAAGAATGCCTCCACATGGAACCCTGAAGTCAAGTTAATGGAGAGAACCCTTTATGCAGCTCTGTGCTGCTGGAGGTCTTACTGTAGAATCAGTGGGTAGAAGGGTGGAGCTCATAACATCAACAAAATGGAAACTACCCTTTATTGAGTATGTCCCATGTGCCAGTGACTGTGCTAAGGAGGGAAATTCACATGGGTCACATATGGCACACCTCTTATTCACACCTACACAAGACTGACTTTAGGCATTCATATTACATTGCACAGCCAGACGACTTCCTAGGTCTCTTCCAACCTCAAGGACCATGAATCTTGTTAGCGATATTTGTCCTTTACTTGGTAGAGGAAGGTTGGTACCTTCCATCCTCTATGTGTGGATTACCCTTAATAGTAACACCAGCTTAAGAGGGGCTGGTCTTGAGTTATCCAACTATTTGTTGGGCTGCAACCTGGCTTATAGGTGGATCTAAGGGTTTTGTGTTTTTTTTTTGTCTCAAGAATTTCTAAGGATATACACAGATGCATCAGGGACTCTTGGGAAATGAATACATTAGTTACATAGTACCTCTAACTTAGGCAAAAACAGGGTTTTCTAGAAGATTTCCTTCTCCATAGGTTTGACCTTTGTATCAGGGAATTGGACATATTATGCCACAGACTGATGAATGTAACCAGTGTATTATGGAAACTTAATAATTTGCATATACTAAAACCTGTTCTTCAAAACTTTATCTTATTTGTTTAATGTCCTTACTTACATAGGTAGTGACTGTGGACCAGGAAGTATGGACCTCAGTCTGTGCTGTCTAATATGGTAATGACTAGCCATATGTGGCTATTTTATAAAGTTAAGCTTAAATTAATTAAAATTAAATGAAATTAAAAATCCAGTTGCAATGGTCATATTTCAGTAGCTCCAATATCCACACATGCTTGGTGGCTACTATATCAAGCAACACAGACATAGCACATTTCCATCATCATAGAAAGTTCTTTGGAATAGCAGTGTTCAAGCTTTGATTTGCATAATAAAAACATTTAAATTTTTTTTATCTTCAGTTCTTTTCCTGTTATATTTTCTATCACATTCAGTTTTCAGAAAAAAAAATGTGTAGTGAAATCTGAAAATACATTTTTTTCCATGTGCTACTTGCAGGTTATTGAAGAAAAAGGGGAGTTCAGTGTTCCAAGCTGCTATGGAAATATTAAAAATGATAACGGTGGTTCTAGCCTTGATTTTGAGCATCTTTTGGATGATGTAAATGTGGTTGATTTGAAATGGATCCATAACTTTGTGTTGAAATCTCTGGAACTTTTGTATCAAGTGGAAAAATGGGAAACACTGGTATCACTTGCTATCCAGTTCAATACAATTTCACAGTAAGTACTGCTGTGAGGGCAATTAAAAGTGACAAGCTTCCATGGGCGCCTGGGTGGCTCAGATGGTTAAGCGTCTGCCTTCGGCTCAGGTCATGATCTCAGGGTCCTGGGATCGAGTCCCGCATCGGGCTTCCTGCTCCTTGGGAGCCTGCTTCTCCCTCTGCCTCTCTCTCTCTGTCTCTCATGAATAAATAAATAAAATCTTTAAAAAAAAAAAAGTGACAAGCTTCCATTTATTTATTTATTTATTTTTAAAAATTTTATTATGTTATGTTAATCACCATACATTACATCATTAGTTTTTGATGTAGTGTTCCATGATTCATTGTTTGCGTATAACACCCAGTGTTCCATTCAGTATGTGCCCTCTTTAATACCCATCACCAGGCTAACCCATTCCCCTCCCTCCCTCCCCTCTAGAACCCTCAGTTTGTTTCTCAGAGTCCATAGCCTCTCATGGTTTGTCTTCCCCTCCGATGTCCCCCCCTTTATTTTACCCTCCTACTATCTTCTTTTTTTTTTTTTTAACATATAATGTATTATTTATTTCAGAGGTACAGGGACAAGCTTCCATTTAAAAAATGCATTTTAACTAATGTCTGCTTTTTAATGTATTTCTACCTCTCTCTAGTGAGAGATACACAGAGCAAGTGACACCACTCCTGGTGTATGCACAGCGTCAGCTTCTTCTAAGAATATCCAAGTTCAATGGCCCGGATGTTACCCAACAACCTTGTGCAAGATATGAGACTGAATACAAAGAGAAGGTGAGTTTGGCTTTATTATTCATGCAGTTGTGATTTCTGAGGAGTGCACGTATAAAATACAAATATTTAGGGATCAGATAAATATTATTTTTACTTAGGCATTTATCATTCAAATCAACAAACGTTATTGAAAGCCTGTTATGTGCCAATATTTCCAGGTACAAGGTAAACAAAAATTAAGTCCTTATACATAGGAAACTTACATTCAGGCCAGAGCTGATACATTCATTAGGCACAGTGAGGACATTATCTAGAGCCACCAAACTTTTAGAGGCCCACTAAATGTTTTAATTTTTTTAATGTGAAGAAAAAAGTAACTTTTAGGTCAAAGAAAAGGTTTTAATTTTTACTAATACTGTATTTGTATTTATGCCAACATAATCATATGATACAATTTTTAATATTTTTTATGGAGGTGTGGGCCCATGAAAGTGAAAGTGTGTAAGGACCATGAAAATCATGGTGCAGCTTTGAGTTAGGTGGAGGAAAGGGTAGTAAATTCTTTCATTTATTAATTTAATAAATGTGTGTCGACTATCTAATACCAGAACCATGGCATACAGTTATACAGTTTGCGACCTGGCCCAGGGCATCCAGTGTACATGAGGACTGAAATCTAGTCCCACCTCCCATACCACTCTGTGTGCTTGTGGTGTTGCGGCCACAAGTGAGGGCTCCATTTTCTTCTCACAGAGGTTCCTTACGGCCCTTGCATATTCTTGCCTCCTGCATATTCTAACACAATGAGAATACAGTCTGAGTTCTTGCTTTATGGAGTTTAATTTTGGAGGGGTAGAGGTAGGGCCAGATAATAAACATGTAAACAGATACATAAATAGGTTTATGATCATTATGAGTTCTCTGAAGAGACTAAAATGGGTCCATGGGTTAGAGATAGGTGGGGTGGGAGGTAGAAATCTGGAATGCCTCTTGGAAACGGTAACCTTTGATGAGAAATGGCCAGCCATACATAAGAGAGAGCCTTCCAGCCCAAGGGAAGAATAAGGGCAAAGGCCCTGAGGTGGGACAGGAAGAAGGCCTGAGTGGCTGGAATGTCACAGACAGGGGCGAGAGTGAAAACAGGGGGGCTTTGCTTCTTCCTCTTCTCCCCAGTGTCTTAATGGTAGTGTGTCCCAGGACTTTGTTCTTGGTCCTCCTGTCTTCTTTATCCACATCCTCTCCCTTGGTGAGCTCATTCAGTCTGTGGCTCTAAGTACTGTCTTTATGATAATGACTTTTGAAATTACAGCTTCAGTCTAGACCTTTCTCCTGAATTCTGTGTTGACATGTAATTCCCTGTATCAGTCAGGGTTCAATCAGAGAACCAGAACCGGTAGGATCTATTATCTATCTATCTGTCTGTCTATTTTTCTATCTGTCATATATCCATCAAGATTTATTACAAGGAATTGGCTTATTTGATTGTGGGGGCTGGCCAGACGAGTCCAAAATTATAAGGTGGTCAGTCAGGATCATGAGCAGGAAGGAAACTTACAGGTGTGACCAGAAGCTGTTATCCTTAGGCAGTCAGTGAGGGATGATCCAGTGAGTAGACCTAGATGCTGTTTGGAGTCTGGAGACCCTCCAGCAGCACATCAGTGACTCACCTGCTTAGGTCAGGCCCACAAAGATAATCTCTTTAGTTTAAAGGAAATTTATTAGGAACTTTAATTAGTATCTGCAAAATCCCTTCAGAGTGGCAGCTAGATGAGTGTTCGAATAGCTGGGATGAAGTGTGTGTATGCTGCAAAATGGATACTTCCCTCCCTTTTGTCCTTGTAGTTTAGCCTAACCAAGTTGACCCATCAAATTTCATCATGCTGCCTAATCAACGTGTCTAATACACTTCTAAAATTTAGTATATTTCAAAGCAAACCTGTTCTGACAAGTCTTCCCCACTTCAACTGATGACAACACTGTTCTCCTAGTTGCTCAGGCCAGACACCTTTGAGACATCTCAGACCCCTCTCTTGCTTTCATTACCCCACTTCAAAGTGGTTATCAAATCTTCTACCTTCAAAATGTATTCAGAATCTGACCACTTATCACTACCTCCACCACTCCTGCTCTGATCCAAACCCTTGTTATATTTGCTTGGATTCATGCAATGACTTCCTAATTAGTCTTCTTGCTTCCAACCTCCCTGAATCCCTGCCTCCAGCCTATAGTCTATTCTCAATGCAGCAGGTAGAATGACCCCTTAAAAACCTAAGTCAGATCATGTCACTCCTCTTCTTTAAACCCTACAGCAGCTTCCCATCTGATTCAGAGATAAGGTGAACATCCTTATCATGGCCTTAATGCCCCACGCATTCTCCTGTCATCTCCAGTGACTCATCTCCTAATACTCCCCTGAAGGTTTTAGCTGCTCTGTTCTTTAAGACTTCCTGCCTTGGGATCCTCCCATTTGCTGCTCCCCTGCTTGGGAATCTTCTCCCCAAATACCCACACTGATTTTTTCTCACCTTTTTCTAGTCTTTGCTAAATGTCACTTTCTGTGTGAGGACTATTCTCACTATCCTATATAAAGGATTGCTCTATTTCTCTCTACAGCATTTATAACTCTTTAATATACTCTATAATGTACCCTTCTATTTTCCTCATTATATTTCTACTTCCTCTAGAATAGGTTCCATAAATATAGGAACTTTTGTTTGCTTTGTTCACTGTATTATCCTTGAGCTTGGAGTAGTGACTGACACATAATAAATGTTCAATTAAGATTTATTTAATGAAGCTGGAGTTGGGAAGGACTAGGTCAAATAGGGCCTTATTAGGCTATGGGAAAGAATTTGCATTTTATTAGACTGTTTACATCTCATTGTATAAGTACCTACAAGGGACAATAAAGAAGCAACATCTACATCAGACTGAGATTCAAAGAGGTCTGTATTTTGAGAAATAGGTTAGTTCAAGGAATAGGAATGGAGAAACAAAGGTTCTTGGACTTTTTTTTTTTTTTTTAGAGAGAGGGAGAGAGCAGGTGCACCCACTAGCAGAGGAGGGGCAGAGGGAGAGGGAGAGAGAGAATCCCAAGCAGGCTCCATGCTTAGCATGGAGCCTGATGCAGGGCTCGATATCACAACCCTGAGATCATGACCCAAGCCGAAATCAAGAGTTGGATGCCTAACTGACTGAGCCACCCAGGTGCCCCAGTTCTTGGACCTTTTAAAAGAATTTCCTTTTGTTTAAAATTTTTCTGATTTCAGATATTTTATAATTTTAGGACTTAAGTGTCTGTTAGAAAATAAATTTTTAAAATACTACAGAGGAAGTTAGTTCTGAAAAACTTCACCAGGGAAGTTTAAATTGCATTCATTATGAGTAGGGTGGAAAAATCAGCCACTGGAAAAGCAGCCTATATTTTAGATATGTTTCAACTTGCATAATAGGAGATATATTTAGACTAGTGGATTTATAGAATATCAGAAAATCATATTCTCATTGCTCTACATAATTTGCCTAATGCCTCTCCAGCTGTGCTGAACAAAAGAAATATGAAAAGTTATGTGGCTGCCTTTTTTCCTGGAAGTTATCATGATCAAGTGCTACTCTGCTAGCTTTTATTTGTAGCATCCTTTTATATTTCTTCTTTTTGACAAGGGAAAAATAAGATAAACATTTTAACAAATTTTTAGCCATAAATACCTGACCAAATAGTATTTGTTTTCCTTTTTCCTTTTTAAGATAACCTGCCGAAATTTCATTGGGAAGCAGCTCAAGATTAATCCTTCAACCAGTGAAGTAACAGATACAGAAAACTGTGCAGATATCCTAAAAAAGTTTATCTATTCAGGTTGGAACCGTTTTAGCTTGAAGCTTTTTTAAAGCAAGGTTTGCTGTTGTGTTCTGCATGTCAGCTCTTCCATAATTAAAATGTTTGCATAATCTCTTTTGCAGGCTTATTGGACTGAAAATAACCCATTTGATATTTACCATCTTATGTTGCTATAAATGTCACAAGGGGAATTAAAACATGTGTTTATTAGTTTAATCTGTAAATTAAAGAAGGGAAGGAAAAAGAGAATGGAAAATTATTTGAAAAATAAGCATGAAAAAGACTGTTGTGTACATTTCCCCCTGTTTTTATTTCACTTGGGAACTCTTCATATTGACCTGTTGCCACTCTCTTTGAAGCTCTGTCTTGACTCTCATAGTAACTCCCATTCCCATAATCAGTGTAGATTGTTCTCCTATTGGCTGTATCATGGTTAAGTTGTAGGTCTTTTCACTAGAGCACAGGAGAAGACAAAGGGACGTCATGGCTCCTTTGCTTTCAGCCGAGAAGCCCTCTTGGAATATTTTGGCAGTGCAGCTTATAGGATTGAAGCAATAGAATAAGATGAAAATGGGGAACAATGCTTTCTCTCAATTGTGTTTGTCATGTGCCTCTGTTTCTGGTATAGGAAAGGAATGCAGATCTTCCCTTTGCCATGTTAGGATTCTTTCATTTATTTATCCATTGATTTTATGTATGTATGTGTGTAGGTATGTAATCATCTATTCCTTTATTGAGACAGTTAGGCGGCCATTCAGTCATTCAGCAAACATTTACTGAATGTCCACCGTGTGTTAGGTGCCATACTGGGTACTGAGACTACAAAGAGACTAAAGATTTATTGAGATTAAAGATTTGTTATCCCGGAATTTACAACCCATTGAAAGAGACTGATAAATAAAGCAGAGACTATGGTATAGAGTGATAAGATCTGTCATATTATGGCTACCCCTGCTGTTTTCCACTGTAAGCAGTAGTAGTAAACAGCATCGCTGTGCAGAGACTGTGTGCAATTTGGTAGAGGTAAAGGAAAAAGGAAAAGGCAAAGCTGAGGTTAGAAAGGTTGGCAGGAAGGCCTTAGAAGGCAGGATAAAGAGATGCAGATCTATCTGGATGGCTGAAGGGAACTAGTTATAAGGATTTAAAGAAGGGCAGTGAAACGATCGTATTTGTGCTTTGGAAAGAACCTTAGGCAGCAGTGTGGGGAATCAGTTGAAAGCACAGCACATGGAAGCAGAAGAGCAGCTACTCCTAACTTGTACATTAAAGATGTGATGAGGCTCTGGACTTAGGTGAGGAGAATACAAGAGTAGACAGATATGAGAGAAAGGCCGAGGAAGTAAGTCCCCAGGACTGTGTTCTATACTGGTTAGATGAGGATGGGAGGAGTCCAAGATGCCTTGGTTTCTGGCTTGGGTGGCTAGATGGATGTGATGTCTTCACTCTACAGGAAAACTGAGGGAGGAATAGCTCAGAGGAAGTTACTTAGGAAGTACTGAGTTTGAGGTGCCAGGATGATACCTGAGTAGAACTATTCAGTATATGGTTAGATAGGCCAGTCAGGCATTCAGCAGAGATTTATATTTTCATTGTCCATATATTGGTGGTGGTTGAAATCAGGGGCTTGTATGAGGTCACTCAGGGAGAGTTTTATGGAGTATAGACCTGAGGATGGCCTCACTTTGGAAGCTGTGTCATTCAAAGTGGGCTACGCTATACAGTAGTAATAAACAACCCCCAAATCTCATTGCTTTCACACAAGGGCTAGTCCATTTTTTTTGTTCATGCTACCGTGTTTGATGAGTTGAGTACTGAGCTGCTGCTCATCATAGGTTGATGGAATCTCCATCTTTTTTTTAAAGATTTTATTTATTTATTTGAGAGAGAGAGTGAGAGAGAGAGAGAGCACAAGAGGGGGGGAGCAGGAGAGGGAGAAGCAGACTCCCTGCTAAGCAGGGAGCCTGATGCGGGACTCGATTCGGGGACTCCAGGATCATGACCTGAGCCGAAGGCAGTCGCTTAACCAACTGAGCCACCCAGGCACCCCGATGGAATCTCCATCTTGACACAAGTTTCCATAATTGTTTCCAAGGCAGAAAGGAGAACATGAATTTACCCTCTAGAGGAGCCATACTGAGAGGCTAGGGCAGAAGGGAAGGAGAGAATGGGCCCCAAAACAGGAAGTTTATAGGTGGTAAGGGCAGAAGTTGAAGGTATTCTCATTGGGTACTGAAGATTTTCTTAATAAAGGAAGGGGTTGAGAGCATAGCCAAGGTTGCTAGGGTAGGAGATTTCAGGAGGAATCTGAAAGAGTGGCCTGGCCCCTCAGGGAAGTAGAAAGAAGATGTAAGGGCTTCAGAGCAGTGTAGAGGTTCCTGTTGAGGGAGTTGGTAACTACAAACTTGTGAGTTTTACCACCAATGATAAATCAAATTATCCCCTCATATTTATTAAACAATGGAGGTCCAATCAGAGTTTGATTCATCCTGGTTATGTTCTTCTTTTCTTGATCACATCTGTCAAACCTCTGGAGATCTGTCAATTTGGGATCTACAATTCAGAATGTGATTTATATTATCCCTTCCATCCTAAAAAGAATGGGCAACAAATGTGAGAAAATAGGTCAAAAAAAACTTATTATCAAATATGATGACTAGCACCTAAGGGATAAGAAAAACATGCCTAGCATGTGTGACCGGTAGGTCTTATAGATGATGGATGCAATATGTCAGAAAAGTACTTTGCCTTCTAGTTGTTAAAGCTACATTTGGAAAGGTAAGGTAGCAGGTGGTGAGACAGAAAGGAGGGTAGGTCGGATCAGCTTACTGTGATTATTTAGGTTGATTCTCAATGGTGGTGGGGCTATAGTCAGTTTGAGCAATGACTACAGCAGGAATATTTGAAGGGATAAAATCTAAACAATATTGTAGTGGCAGTAATAATGAATTGGGCCACGTACTATATTGAGCACATTATAACCATTAGCTTTTTAAATTTTTATAATTTTAGAGGATAGATATTATGCTTACATTACAGATGAGAAAATTAAATGTTACTAGTAAATAGAACTTTGGTTCAAACCCTCGTCTGTCTGATTGCTCAGCCTGTAAGTGCTCCACCAAACTACTTGACCTGTTCACCATTTGTCCTCCCTCAGGTTAGTCTCTCCTCTAAACTGGTAGCACTCAGAAAAATTTTGCTATACATCAGTGGTCATGGGGAGACAGATACTTTATTCTAACTTACTGTGATAGTATGGTAGTTTTTAGATGATCCTGCATACTAATTGTAAGTCTTACATTGAGTCATTATCATTAAAATCTTGGCATCCAACTTACACCTCTTTAAAAGACTCTAGGACCTCTGTGACTAGGAGCATATTTTGGCCCACGCTTTTGGGCTTATTTGGCAAATTTTTAGGAGGGTGAATTTTCTTTCAGTGTCCTGAACTCAGATCATTAACATGTTTATAAGCATGATGGGTCTAAGGTATGTCATCATGACATGTTTGCAGTACTTTGGAAAGACCAAGTATACTCCTGCTGGTTTCCACACCAGATTGCTGCTTTAGAACATCATAGATTTTCTTTTGGCATAACAGCATTGGGCGGTAATGCTTGATACATTTAATTCTTCAGAACAGATATTCTATTGCTCCAGTGCCTATGAACATTTGGTGTTCTCATTATTTAACAGCATTCTGTTCTCCCTCTAACTATTTAATAATGCATATGTAATTTGGTATAGTCTCTGTAGGATGTGGAGAAGTGAGAATACCTCACTTTATAGATTATTTTTTGTATGGATGAGTAACTTGCCTGCTTGTTAAGCTTCACAGGGGAGATAACTATGAATATGCCTTTTATTGTATCTGTTTTTGCGTTCTATCTAGGATCTGTTTCTTGAGTTTTGACCTAATTGGTATTTAAGTTATCTCTGATAGGGTTCTTCAGTCTTCAGGTATGTTGGAATTTTCAACCTTTGGCAGGTGTGTTTTATTACTGACTCTGGGCTTTTGGATTAATATGACTAATTGTGTAGAAAGCAGCCCAGGGCGCCTGGGTGGCTCAGTCGGTTAAGCGACTGCCTTTGGCTCAGGTCATGATCCTGGAGGCCCGGGATTGAGTCCTACATCGGGCTCCCTGCTCAGCGGGGAGTCTGCTTCTCCCTCTGACCCTCCTCCCTCTCGTGCTCTCTGTCTCTCATTCTCTCTC